CGGCTTTCCATGGAGCAAATATAGCTTAACACACGAAATCCAGTCGAGATTACAGCCAGCATTGCAATAAGCAACAAACGCCCAATGCTCAGCCCTGCACCAGAGCCAAAAAGGATTTAAACCTGCTTAAAAATACTCAGGCCCAGGCCCTGGCAGTCACCCATCGCGGGAGAAGCAGGCATGACCCTGCCCAGGGCCCAACTGTGGAGTCACCCCGTCCCATCTGTCCCGCAGGGGAAAGAAAACTGCCCTGTTCTCCTCACTCCAAACCCAACCCACTGACTGCCCAGACAGGGCTTGTTTCCCTGCGCAGCTCCTGGGACGCACCCCACGGGGAAGGCTGCAGGCAGCACCTCCGAGCTTGGGCAAGGTCATCTGGAGAAACATCGCTGCACTGGTCCGGAGGAGTCCGAGGCAGCGAGACCAAGGGGGCCTGCATCTCTGAGAGCAGCACTCCCTCCCCCCTGCCCACTGCGCACAAAATGATAGCAGCGTCTCCACGGAGGGGAGCAGCTGTTCCTGAAATCACGAAGGAGGCAGTGGGGCTCAGAGCCACCCGCTCCCGAGACATTCAGCACGTGACACTCCAGGCGAGGGCTCTTCAGCTCCCCGGTGCTCACGCCGAGGGATCAGGTTAACGGGACGTTCTCCCCAGCCGCACACGGCAAGATGCAATCGCCAGGGGCAGCGCACAAGCAAGACACCTCTGCAGCAGACCCATCCACATTGCTATACGCCTTACGTGAGCGTCCGAGAGTCCCCAGGTGAGCGCCGAGCCCTAGCCAGAGGGAGAGCCAGCCCTGCCCTGAAGAGGTGACAGGGACGGAGAGGTGCAAAGAGGAGAAGTGACTTCCCCCGGCTCACCCAGCAGGTCAATGAAGAGCTCCCAGCTCTGCTGTGCCCCCCGGACTGCCCCGCCTGCAAGCTTCGCAACCGAGAGAATGACAGGGTGCATGGTGGGGATGTCACACCTCTCTCTGGGCAAACAGTGGGGTCACGGGCAAGAGCAGCACCCCAGGGTAGCTGGCACATGGTGCTGGCAGTCCCTATGCCCCTAGATAGGACTCGCTCTGCGGCGGTGCCTCTCCGAGGTCTGCGTAGCCCGGGGGGGACGGACTGTGGAGACGCGGCAGAGTCTTGTGGGTCAAACACTGCCCATGCGTGGAGGCGGCGCGGGAGCAATGCCAGCTCTGTGGCGGACTCCCTGGCGGACGTTAGCTGAGCTCCCGCATCTCTCCGGGCTCCGTCCCCCACTGTAACAGAGGGGCAGCAGCGTGTCCGCGTCTCTTCAGCCTGATGCTCTTCGGGGCAGCGGCTCTCTTGCCGTATAGCTGCGCAGCGCTGGGTGCCGGGGCCCCAGACATCTTGTGCCCCCCCCCCGTCTGTCCGCACCCATCATGCCGACCAACTTGGCCCGTGCGCGGCCGCCTCTTCACCGGTAGCTTTAGCTGGGCTCCGTGGGTTAAAGCCGGCAGGGATGCGCCAAGCCCAGCTGCACCCCGCCTCTAACGGCAGGGGAGACACCCCAGAGCACCTGTGAACCTGGGGCTCCCGAACCTCTGCACCGTCCTTTGACACCGCGTTGTGCGCTTGTCTGCCCGGCCCCACCCTGCAAAGTCATTCCTAGTCTCACTGCCAGTTAGCAGCCGGGAAAGGTGAGGAGCAGAGAGGAGCCAGTCCCTATTCTCGCCCCACTTCTCCTGTTGTTATTAGGCGTTATTCGCCCAGCCCGAGATCTGCCGTGCCAGGTGCTGCACGGACACAAAGAGACAGACAGTCCCTGCCCCACAGCGCTCAGAGCCTAAACAGACAGGAGGGGATGGGAAACAGAGGCAGAGATTTCCAGAGCTGCTGAGCACCCACAAATCTTAAGGGATGGGAGCTGCACGTGCTCAGAAATCGGCTGCTATTACCTGAGGCTCCAGCAGGGCTCCTCGAATCGCTTTTGGAGACCGAGCCCCAGGCTGGGAAAACGTGACCCAGGCTCCCGCGCTGGACCCTTTGCCCCCGAGTAGCCACAGAGGCACGGTGCCTTCATTCAGGCACCCTGCGCTGGGAGGTGGTAGGGTGCAGCGGATAGGGGTGTGAACCTGGATTCTACACCCAGCTCTGACGCCCACCCACTGGGCGAGCTTGGGTGGGACACGTCCCCTCCGTGTGCCCGCCTCCCTTCCCACCCTGTGTCTCCCTCATGAGTGTCTCGCCCCAGGGTATGGCCAGAACCTCACACAACCAGGCCTCTGGAAATCGCCTGCTGTTGTGCTGAAATAACTTTTTCCTGGAACGAGCTGAACCATTGCAAATAATCAATAGCGATTTGCCTCTAATCTCCCTCTTAGCTGGAGATTTCTCTCTGTGTCTGGCCTGAGAGTCCTAGTCTCGAAGGCAGATGATAAAATCCGCTGCTGCCTTGTTCAAAAAACAAACCATTTTCCTGGGAGGGGACTCTGCCTGGCCTCCAGCGCATTTGCCTTATGGGGCTGCCGGCTGAAAAACGTTTCGGATTAACTTCTCGTCAGGTTTAACCTTTATCACAACAGGCAGGCTCATTTCGCGCAGGGCCCACGATCAGTGTTTGATTGCTTTGCCCACCAACCTCCTCACTCCCATGTTCCCAGACACACAATGACCCGAGCTGGTGGTAATAACAATTCACTGCGGTCATGTTACGTCTGATAGCAGCCCTTCATCATTCGAATGGCCATGGAGAACCAGGACATCCCCATCTCCGCGTCTCACACGGAATGTAAAGGCATTAAAGATGCTAATGCCGGCAAATAGCCACTTTCCCCACAGATATGGGGGGGGCAGAGATAGAGAGAGCGCTGCCCTCATTTTCAGCTATGGTGATGAATAGCAGCTAGCCAGAGGGTCTGAGGCTAGGTGGGCAGAGCAGAGAGAGGGCTAGGTAGCGAGGGAATTGGAGAACTGGTCTGAATTCAACAAGATGAAATTCAGTAAAGAGAAGTGCAAAGTCCTGCACCTAGGAAGGAAAATTCAGATGCACGATTCCAGCGTGGGGTACGCGCCCAGTACTGCTGCACAGAGCTGGGGATTCTAGTGGGTCCCAAATCGAAGGAGTCAACAACGTGATGCAGTTGCAAAAAAGGCAAATATCAGTCTGGGCCGTATGAACAGACGTGTCGCCTGCTGCACATGGGAGGTCACTGTCCTGCCCTCAGCTGCAGCCCTGCTCCCATTTCTGGGCAGCTGTAGGAAAGCTGCGAACACGCTGGGGAGCAGCTTAGCAGCAAAGATGATCCAAGATTTAGAAAACCTGAGGCATGAGACGAGGTACAAAACACCCGGGCACATTTAGTCCTGAGGAAAGAAGGTTCAGCAGGGATCTGATAACAGTCTTCAGATCTGTTACCGGCTTTTGCAGAGAGGACAGTGATCAATGTTTCTCCCTGGGCACCGGAGGTAGGACAAGACGCGGTGGGTTTAATCTGCAGCCAGGCTGGTGTCACGGAGTGTGGGGGGACACAAGGCCCTGCACCCCTGGCTTCCTGCGATTCACCATGACTCTCAGCCAGCCAGTAAAGCAGAAGGTTTATTTAGATGACAGGAACACAGTCCAAGACAGGTCTTGCAGGCACAGATGACAGGACCCCCCTCAGTTAGGTCCATCTTGGGGTCCCAGGGCACCACAGCCCCCTTGGGGGGTCAGAGCCCCATCTGCCTCCCAGCCCTTCCACCAGCCAGCTCTGAAAACTCTCTCCCCAGCCTTTGTTCAGTTTCCCGGGCCAAGGTGTCACCTGGCCTCTAACCCCTTCCTGGGTTCTCACGTTACATGCTCAGGTATCTTCCCTCAAGGCCAGTCTCCCATCTCCCAATGCAGACCGTTCTAGCCAACCTCCCCTGCCTTCCCAGCCAACACTCCCCACTCAGCATTCAAAGACCACATTAAGAACAGTCCCAGTTCATCACAGCTGGATATTAGGAAACCTGCCTAACTCCCTAGGGAGTGAAGCTCTGTGAGAGGTTCCCAAGGCGGTTGCGGAAGCCCCGTCACTGGAGGTGGACAAACCCGCGTCAGGGCGGCTCTGGGTTTACTCACTCCTGCCTCAATGCCGGGCACCGGATGTGACTTCTCGAGGTCTCTCCCAGCCCCACCTTTCCAGGATTCGGTGGGAGCTCGCTCACCCTGTCTCTCGCTCCGGGTCTGCCCAGCGCCACCAGCTGCTACTACAAGAGCAGTCACCAGGGTGAACATCTGGCCCCTAGCGCTCAGGTGGGGTGTGGGCCTTTACCTGCTTCTCACCCCTCCAGGCCTGGCTCTAGGGGGAGGAGGCCGTTCCCCACTGTTTCACCACGTCACGCTGACAGAGGGACTCACGCCCGCCCCAAGCGCCACCCACCCCTCTGCTCCCCGCCAGCCGCTCCCGCGTGCTGGTGCTGCATTAACAGCGCCGGGCACGGCCACAAATCCGGGGACCCGCCCCTCCCTGATCTGACTAATAAATACATTATTTGCAGGTTCAGAGTCAATAGCAAGTTGGCTTCCCTGGCAGGAAGCGCCGGGATTAATTGCATTCAAATCGACTAGGATGGATTTGCTGCTCACCCTCCATTAGGAGCGACACAGACCCCATTTGCATGTCATCAGCGGAGGGAAGGGAACTCCTGCCTGGCTCTCCCCCCTCCTCCCCCATCCTCCGAGCATGTCCATGGCTGCACTGGGCTTCCGGCTCAAAGCAGCCGGCTTCCAACATTTGCACGGGGTCGGAGAAAAACCACTGCAATTAGCGTGTTGGGTAAGTGGGTGTTAAGGACTTCCGGGGACGTGGGTATTTCCCAGGGCAGGGAAAGGCCAAGTCACCGCTCCACACCCATTCCTATCGGTACAGAGGCGAGGACGCGCGCCGCGGCACACGGCTGCAAGGGGCAGCTGGGACAGGCTCCACACCACCCTGATGGCCGGGGGACTCGGCCAGCCGGTCCGTGCAGAGGCCGCGTAACCCCAGGTCTGCGTGCAGGAGCGAAGCCGAGTCTCTTACCTTTTCCATCAGCTGCCGGAGCTGCCGGCTGCGCAGGTCTCGGGAGCAGGTGCCCTGCACCGGGATGACCGCTGTGCAGAGGCATTTGCCATCGGGGGCTTGAGCGGAGGTGTAAACTTGCCAGCCGTCATCGGGGCTTTGGAAGAGAGTCTGCAACAGAGAGGGAGGAGACTTATCGGCCTGACTTACCCCACGGCTGCTGCGTGGCTTCAGAGCCTGTCAAAGGCTCTCTCGAAGTCCAAGGACACTCTGTGCACTGGATCCCCCTTTGGCGACCCCCTCAGAGAATTCGAATAGATTGGCGAGGCGCGATTTCCCTTTACAAAAGCCGGGATCTCTTCCCCACCACACTGTGGCTACCTACGCCGCTGACCATTCTGTCAATCGATTGGCCTGGGACTGAAGTCAGGCTCACCAGCCTGCGATTGCCAGGATCCCCTCTGGAGCCTTTGTAAAAATCTCCAGTCATCGGGAACAGAGGCTGATTTAAGCGAGAGGTTACACCCCACTGTTAGTAGTTCTGCAGTCTCAGATCTGAGTTCCCTCAGAACTTGTGCTTAAATACCATCTGTTCCTCAGGACTCCCTACTTCAGGTTGTTCTAAAATCTCAACTGACACCTCAGTCTGGGACAGTTCCTCCGATCCGTCACCTAAACCGAATGGCTCAGATGTGAGAGTCTCCCTCCCGTCAATCTTCTGCAGTGAAGACTGATGCAAAGAATTCATGTCGCTTCTCTGCAATGGCCTGGTCTTCCTTGAGGGCTCCTTTAGCACCTCGATTGTCCAGGGGCCTCACTGATTGTTTGGCAGCTTCCTGCTGCCGATGCACTTAACAAAAATGTTGCTGTTTGTTTTTATCTTTTGCTAGTTGCCCTTCAAATTCTTTTTTGGCCTGTCTAAATATACTTTTACACTTGACTTGCCTGAGTTCATGCTCCTTTCTATTTTCCTCGGTAGGATTTGACTTCCAATTTTTAAAGGATGCCTTTTTGCCTCTAACTGCCTCTCCTACTGTGTTGTTTAGCCATGGTGGCATTTTTTGGTCTTTTCTTTTTAATTTGGAATATGCATTTAGTTTGAGCCTCTTTATGGTGTTTTTAAGACGTGTCCATGCAGCTTGCAGGCATTTCACTCTTGTGACTGTTTCTGTTAATTTCCCTTTAACTGGCTCCTTCAATTTTGTGTAGTTCCCCTTTTTGAAGTCAAATGCTACTGCGCTGGGTTTTTTGGTATTTCCCCCCCGCAAGGATGTTACATTTAATTACATCATGTCGCTATTACTGAGCAGTTCAGCTACGTGCACCTCTTGGACTAGATCCTGTGCACCACTTAGGACTAAATCCAGAATTGCCTCTCCCCCCTGCGGGTTCCAGGACGGGTGGCTCCAAGAAGCAGTCATTAACGGGGTGTAGAAATTTTATCTCTGCATCCCATCCTGAGGTGACGTTCCCAGTCCATATGGGGATAGTTGAAATCCCTCATTATTATCCAGTTTTCTATTTCTGTAGCCCTCTACTCTCCCTGGCATTTCACAATCACCGTCACCATGCGGGTCAGGTGGTCGGCTGTACATCCCTACTGCTAGACCCTTATTATTCAAGCAGGGAATTTCTATCCAGAGAGGTTCTATGGTACCGTTAGAGGCATTTAAGATTTTTGCTACATTTCACTCACACACCACCACCCCCACCAGCACGACCTCGTCTGTCATTCCTGTACAGTTGGTACCCTGGCATTCCCAGGTCCCATTGAGGGTCATTGTTCCATCCAGTGTCTATGATGCCTGTTACATCCGTATCCTCATTTAGTACCAGGCACTCCGGTTCAACCAGCTTAGTATTTAGACTTCTTGTACTTGTACACAAGCACTAATAAAATGTGTCCATATTTTGGCGTCTGCCTGCACGGGATGTAACTGAATGGGACTGGTTTTCGTTTGACTGTTTCTCTTCAGTTCCTACCAGTCCTCTATCAACGTCTATCCTCTCCTTGTTACTAGGAAATAGAGAATCCCCTTCAATAAATACTCCCCTAAGGGATGGCTCTGTCCGAACTGTGTGCTCCTCTGCGTCTGTCGGCTTCCCCCAGCCCTTCGGTCAAAAACTCCTCCATGACCTTTTTAATTTTCCAGGCCACCAATCTGGTTCCGGTTGGGTTTAGGTGGAACCCATCCTGCCTCTGGAGGCTCCTCCTTTGCCAAGTTTCCCCAGTTCCTAATAAACCTAAACCCCTCCGCCGAACACCATCTCACCTGCGCATCGAGACCCTGTGGCTCTGCCTGTCTGCCCGGCCCCGCGCATGGAGCTGGAAACATCACCAGATACCTGCTACCTGCCAGTTCTTAATCCTAGGGGTGACGTTCCGGGCAAAGCCCTACTGGTGCCTGTCCCACGACTGCAGGCTCCTGGCTAGAGCCGGCAGCGATCGCCTGGGATCCCGGCACTCCATGGACACCTTGTGGCCTTTGACGTCACGCTCAGACCCATTTCTGACCCAAAGGGTTGACGCAGGGGCTGGCAGTAGGGAGGAGGAAGAAGGGAAGGGTGGAGTTACGCTAGGAGAAGTCAGAGATGTGGCTGGCAACCTAACGCATCATAAATCCCCTGGCTGCAATGCAGACTTCCTAGTCACTCCTTCTCTGTGCCTCCTTTCCCCGGGACAACGCGGATACCAGCCCTGCCCTGCCCCAGGGATGTCAGGGTAAATACAGTAGAGAGGGTGAGGCTCAGGCACCAGAGAAGGGGGGGCAGAGAGTCAGGGGCTCAGCTTCCGACAGAATTCCCAGGTGAGCTGGATGCTTCATTAGGAACCTTTTAGACACCCCCACCCCCAGATTAATGGTTTTTCTCTGTGTGTCAGACACACGCGCCTCCATCCTCCCTTTCCGGGCAAGGAGTAAGGTGAAAATTAACACCGGTTGCTCCTGTAGGGCCAAGCGCACAGAGAGCCCGGCCCAGACGCAGGAATGGGGCAGGCTGGTGAAACTGGCGCCATCTGCCGTGACGGGCACATCCCCCAGCCTGGCAGATGCCCGCGTGACAGCTGGGAGCACATGGCGTCTGTGTAAATATTTATCAGTGCAGGTGCAAAGAGACCTGTGAGGTGTGTACCCACCCACTCTCGGTGCTGGACGATAAACAGGAACGTGACGGGGGAGCTAACCGTGGGATAACACCCATGGAGAGGGCTGCAAACATCGTACAGGCCCCGTGCAAGACCAGGGCCCCCACGATGATGGGCTCCCACAGAGCGAGAGGTGCCCCCTGCCCAGAGAACTCATTGCCTGGGGAAGGATCAGTTCCCCATTTTACAGAAGGGGCTCGGAGAGTCCCAGCCACAAATCAAACCCAGGTCGCCTGCGTCCTGATCCAGCCCCTTCTCCTCGCACCGGCCTTGCTGACACAGCGAGCTGCAAAGCCCATGAAGCCAGTGGGACTTTGCCCTGACTCCGGCGAGATTGGGCCCAGGGCCGAAGGGCAGGAACAGGGAGCGACGGCCCCACGGCACTGACCCTGCGGGGTTTATCGGAGTTCCACCTCCTGGCTTTTTCCCACCAGGCCCTCTGGCTCTCCAAACACCGGTGCTGCACTATGCTCTGTTACTGAACCTTTGCGGGGGTCAGCCTTGGGCTGGGCGAAGGATGGGCATTATCTGCCACCCAAAATTCTAAACAAAGAACAATTCATTTGCTTTGAGGTTTGTCATGTAACATTTCAATTTTTCAAAGAAATGAAAATGAGTCAAGTACTGAACATTCGTTTTGTTTCATTTTTTTGCATCCTCCCCCCTCCCCTTTCTCTGGGGAAAAAAGGGAAAGAAAGAAGGGGGAGAAAAACAAAACAACAATATGAAAAACGAAACTTTTCCATTTTTCAAAAACTAAATATTTGATTTGAAACAAGAGAAAATGAAAGTTTTCATTTTCCTTTTAGCTTGTATTGAAAAAATGCAAAGAACATGATTTTTTGGTCAAAATTTACACTTTGTCCTAAAAGCCTTTTTCTGCCACAAAAAACACCCCAAACGTCACTTGCCTTTCTCTAAAAACAACAAGGAGTTTGGTGGCACCTTAAAGACTAACAGATTTATTTGGGCATAAGCTTTCGTGGGTAAAAACCCACGTTGCATCTGAAGAAGTGAGGTTTTTACCCACGAAAGCTTATGCCCAAATAAATCTGTTAGTCTTTAAGGTGCCACCAGACGCCTTGTTGTTTTTGTAGATACAGACTAACAAGGCTACCCCCTGATACTTGCCTTTCTCTGGCTCTCAGCCCCTGCCTGGGAGAGGGGGAAATAGCGCTGCCCTAGCGGACAGTGAAGAGAAACACATTACGAGATTGTGAGGTGCTCAGATACTGCGGCCATGGGGCCTGATAAGTACCCACAACACCGAGGCTGCAAACACCATGGTTCAGCTCGTTGGCAGGACCAGACCCACGCAATGTCCCCTCTGTGTTTTAAACATTCTCGCCTCTATTCCCGTCCCCGGGCCCGGTTCCCACTCGGACGGGACCCCAGGGCGGATTATCACTTTCCCGTCCCCGGGACCGGTTCCCACTCGGCC